GTTCAAACATGTCCCATGTCTGAACTAATACATGCATAAATTTCAAGCTGATAGAGCTAGTTGTTAATTAGCTATTGGGAAGATACTAGTTATCTGTGTGTACTCTTTGGCATAAAAATGGGTGACCAAAATTTAGAGCAATATACTAATATTAAATTTTGTGTGAAAATCAGCAAATGCACTACTGAAACATTGCAACTGTTGCAAGTGGCATATGGTAAACATGCTATGAAACACTAAAAAAGGCACGCATGTTGTTGTTGAAGACCATGCTGGTGGTTTCTTCAATCACAAGGGAATAGTCCACCAAGAATTTATTGAAGAGACAAATAGTCAACCAACAACACTAAAAGTACTGCAGAGATTATAAGATTCTGTTCAAAGAAAAAGATCTGAACTGTGGCCTGACAAGTGGATCATTCATCACAACAATGGACCAAGTCACATTTTCTGACCAAAAAAAGTGATTGCCCAATTAGATCATCCAGCCTACTCACTTGACTTAGATTCCTTATTTCTGCCTATTTCCTAAATTAAAAGCCGTGCTAAAAGGATGAAGATTTTCTATTATAACAGATACCCAACAGAAGATAAGATAGCTGCTCAACAGTATTCTGGAAAAAGAGTTCCAGGCCTGCTTCCAGAAATGCAAATGCCATTTAAGTCAGTGTATAGATGCACAAGGCAAGTACTTTGAAGATGATAGTAGCCACTAGTGTACAGTTCCACATGTATATTTTTAAAGGTGCATTCTGGGAATTAAACTGTCACATCTTGTAGTAGCTGCTAGTTTCAATAATGGCATTTCTAACCTTAAACAATTAATTTTAACTAAAATGTAACTTAAAAAGTTAATGAAGTTGATTAAGAGTCTGTAGCTTAGGTATGCAACACTAAACTGTACAAAATGATTTAATTTGTATTTGCCTTTTGTTCTTGTTTTAATTGTTAGGAGTGAGCATAAGATTGCTTGAGAGAAAAATCTAACTTCATTCTGTATTCCTGTGAGATTTGTTCTCTCAAGCAGTCTTATGTTCACTCCTAAAAATTATTTGAATTTGTTTTAAGAGGATATATCATTAATACTGCATTTACACAAAATATATTTTTAAAATGTTTTTTCACCAGAATCAACATAGCAGGATGATGATATATTTTGTTTAAAATTTTTAAATTTCTCTAAAACTTGCATTTTTATATAATATTTAAAATATTTTTCTTGTAGTTTATAATTTAATAATTAAGCTGTCTATATAATTTATTTTAAATTAATAACAGTTAAAAACATTTGATGACCAGTTTAGAATAAGTTCATTTAAAATTGTTTAGATCATTACGTTAACAGTCAAGAATAAAGAACTAATAAAGAGAAGCAAACATCCAATAATGTTAATTGTCCATTATATCCGAAGATGTCTTAGTTAACTACAAAACACAACTTTGTACAAGATACAAACAGCCTACAGCATGAAAAATAAGTTATGAGAACAAATACCATACTTCCAAGTAGGGACATATAGCTGTTAATATATATTGGATAGCAAACATTTTGTATATTAACAGTTCCAGTTGATATTCTCAAATATTTTATTCATACAATAAGAGATGCCTTGGTCAAACTATTATGTTTTCTAAGGTACAACTGAAACTGTATGTGATAAAGATAAATAGTAAACATCTAATAAAACTTTTTCAGTTAATGATATATATCAGAGAGCAATGTCACAAAACTATTCAGTGTTACTCCTCTCTAATGCTATAATATTCCAAACTTAATCAAACTATTATATAGAATCATTCAGATGAAAACATGCCAAAGGATACAATAAAATACAGAATGGGTTTATTGCAGCATCTTTGGCATAAATTACAAGTGGCACCACTATAGTATTATGATACACTAACAAGTAGCTGTGAAATTATATGATAAGTAATAATAGTCTGCCTTTTTTCACATCATCATGGTAGTTTACTTTCTTACAAAGGGCCCACTGTTAATAGTTTCTTGCCTACAGAAATGCCGTATTCAGAAACTCTCAAATCTCCGATCATCAATCAAGACCAAGTGGCCTGGGTTACTCACTCAGGAGTCATTCTTCTTCACATTAATGCCTTTCCCCAAACTGCAAAAATTATCAAGGATTGACTTTCCAAATTCCAGTGAAAACACTCCAGCAATATGACCCAGATTCATCCCATGACTTTCACAATTTTGAGGAACTGAGGAAATATCTGTAGAGAGACAGATTTCATTTTGATGAAGAGAAGCAGGAACAATTCTACTAGCCAAACAATATATTAGCAAGTTACAATTATCTTGCTAATATGTCCTTTGGCTTGTTTTCATTTCAATGATCCTTGAATTTAACAATAAATCATAATTTGTGTAAAATTTCTATAATATTAATATTACCTTAAGATCATACTTTCGATGGACATTAAGAGAACTACTAAATATATTACGCATGACTACCATGTAAGTTTCTGCACCTTCAACTGTCAATCGGTACATACCCAAATATTGTGGTAACAAGGTTTTCCCATGGCATTCCACAATATACTGAAAAAAATGATACATCGTTATTATGGAAGAAAAACAAGAAAAGTTTAAATTATACCTACAGGATGATACTGTTTGAGTAGACTGTGCATCTGTTCTACTTCTTCACTTTGAAGTGTCTTAATGATAAAAAGCCGATCGTACGATTCGTAAAATTTTGCACCGCTTCGTCCTGGGGAAGTGACTGCCAATGGTTGAGATTTTGTCAAAGAATTCTAAAAATAAAATCTTTTAATTTCTTATAAAATTAGAAAAAAATTGTTAACTTATAGTTAATTTTACCATATAATCAACATCATCTATTCCAAATCTCTCTCTCAAATTTCTAAATACAAGTGGACAGTATTCTTTTACCTTAAAATGACTTGGCATATTCTCTCTAAAATAAACAAAAATATTTCAACAAAAGGAAATTTTTATAATTTCATTATTTTTTTAGTTAGTAATTATCTCTAATCATCATCATGCTTCAGTTCTTGAACCAATTTAAAGTTTTAAAAATAACTATGTTCAGTATCTTAATAAAAATAAACCTGAAAAGGAGGAGAAACAGACAGTGATTTAATATATGAGAAATTATTCTGTATAAATATGACAACTTCTTTTTCAGTATAATGTCCACTTTGACATTCTGAATATATATAAACACATTACTCCAATTCTAGGCTCAAACAGTAACAATTACTAGTTTTCAATTGGTTCCTGCCAAATCATCAAAGTTAAGAAGCAAGAAAGTATTCAGGTCGTAGACAACGCAACTATCGAATGCTGTCTTACGTCATGGAACCTAGTGGCTCTGACTGATTCCAAGTCCGGATTAATATAGAGAAATTTATTAATGGAAAGAATAAAAACTATATGACAGTCAATTCAGAAATGGCAACCTTACAGAAAATGCAAAAAATACTGAAAGACAATTGCATAAAATGTTTTCTACTCTTATTTAAGGTACAAAATATATTATACATTTATAAAAGCAAAATTTTGACATTTAAGCACATACTTAGAATTTCTTTCCTACACAAACTTAAAATTTAGAAATTATCTAACTCACTGCTATGCAGTCAACTGTTAGCTATTATATTTAGTCTTTCTGCCAAGTATTTCATGTATATATATATAATCTTATATCATTATCCTACTTAGTATATACGAACTATACACATATGATCGTCATTATTATTATATTACAGTAGATCCCCCTATAAAAGCGTTTCCTATAGTTATGATTCCTATAAAAATTGTGGCATTATCCGTAAACAACGGTAAAAATAACTCCTATAATACGTAAAACGTCATCGGGCAGCCGAACTACTTACCCGCCGTCCGTAGCGCCACGCTACGGAGAGATTTCTATCGTCTGGACAGTATTATATAAATTATATATAAATTAGGTACTGTACATATAATTATATATTAATTATATATAAATTAGGTACTGTATATATAATTATATATTAACTTAATTTATTGTAACTTTATTATAATTAAATATATATTTTTCGCCGTCTAGCGTCACGCTACGGCGAGTTAGGCGACCNATTTGCAACTGTGAGAAGTGAGGAAGTCCGGAACACTGGGAATTGCCGTTATTAATCATCAAAAGATGAAAATACATGAATACCAGTGTGTGCCATGACATCTGATGATAGGAATCTGTGTTTCTGTAATAAGCCAACTTCCAGGGGTAATCAGTTAATTGCGCATCAGTGATGGTCTAGGGTCCATTTGTATTCGTTTGTTTGATAACCCAGAGTTCTCTAAATGCATTTTTACATTTACACAATTACATTCCGAATCGCTAGCCACGATATAAGGGCTACAATTAAAAATAAAATAATAAAAATTTACTTGGTGAAATAAAATGTGTGGTGGATGTACCGGTACATACCTGGTACAAAATATTCTTCAATAGTACAAATATACTTTTAAAGAAGATTATAATTAAATATAGCTTTGTAAAGAAACATACATAAAAATAACAAAATATTCTTTACTTTTTAAATCTTAAAACAATCCACTTAGTCAAATAGCTCCCTACGAGTGGCTAATGGATGGAATCAGAGTAGGTTGCAGTGCGTGCGTACAAACGGACTGCCAAATCCCAAGGGTGCCGATACTGGTCAATGTCAAATACCTCTTTTGTCACATCACTAGTATACCTCAAAAAAACACGACAGGGTTGTTGTAAATTTTAAACGTTTCTCGCCATAGCTGTAAAAATCTAATTATGTTAAACTTAATAGATTGTCTGTTGTTTGAACTAATTTGTTTTAGGCCCAGGTGTCCATGGAAATTTCTAAAATTTACTTTTCAGTCATTCTCGAACTAGAAAAATTTCTGTCTTTATTACATCTAATATGAAGAAATCAGTCTCCACTGTACTCGGCTAGAGATTGGTTCGGTTAAGCTATTTTTAAGTAAAATTTCGGCTCTCATCAGGATTTTGTTTATGTCCCCAATTCCTTAATCGCTTAATTATTTAACTACATCTTAAGTAGAAATAAGTCGAAACTGGTTACTTTGTACTCGGATACTTTTATTTGTAGTCTCAGGAAAAAAATGGAAAGAAATTTTTATGACAATAGATACATAAATCATAAATTTAAGGAAAATAAATGCTAGAGATTTTTTTGTACCTTGTGCATCTCATTCATTACATTTAGTTGTAAATGATGCTGCCAAAGTAACAGTTAATTTTTAACATTGTACAAGAATTGTGCATGTTTTTCTGCATCCGCTTATAGATGGGACATACTAAATTGTAATATCACTAGTTTAACATTGAAATCTGTAAGTAATAAAAAGTAGGAGAGCATAATAAAAGCAGAATAAATATATCAAATATTTTAATGGATTTTTTTAAACTCCTGTCAACCATACAGAACTCTTGTACTCACTCGTTTACCTCTATTGTCCAGTACTTCTTAACCATTCGTAAAACAAACATTTTCGGCCTCAGCCAAGGTCTGCATCAGGTTAAAAGAACAATTGGATTCCAATCTTAGAACAAACAATTTTTCGTTCATTCTAATATTAAATATTAATTTTAATTAATTCAAAGTCGTTAAAATATGAAAATAATCATGCAATGTGTTTTTATATTTTAGAAAATACAAGGAAAGCGGCACTTTCACCGCTTCCAAGGACGGCACGCCACTGATGAATACCTCAACTTTCTCAGATTATTGTCAAGATCCCCTGACACCAACATTCTGTAAAAATGCCACTTAAAATCTTAGAAAGTCTTCCTGGGAGGCTTTTTATTTTTTGGGAAACTGGCTTCTATGTAGGTGTTCAACACATGAAGAAAACCTGAAAAACTGCAAGTCCATTGATGAGGTACAAACCTGTGAACAACTGCCAGTGTTTGGTGATTTTATCTACTTTACCTAACTGCACAACATACTGAATTTATAAAAAGTGTGACTCACATTAACCAATTAACCTGTAGGGCCCATCAACTGCAAGATGCATTTCTATTTTGGATGATTATAAGACAGTAAAAAAAGGTCTGTTAGAATTGATTTTTTACATACAATCAAAAAAGAGAAAGTTCAAATCTATAATAAAATTTTAGGATATTTGTCCCAAATCTTCCCATCATCAGATTCTCTATGCTTTCAAATTTAACAGGAATGATGGGAAAGTCCTGAATAATGTTTTAGCCATTAATAAATGTTGACTCCTATACATTATATAGCATTGTTATATTTTCTTTTATTCTTGTTCATCTATGTATTATTAATTAACAAATTTCTGAATTTATAAAAGTTTACTTTAAATGCAGTCTTGATTAAGATTTTTCTAGAATATTAAATTCTAACACTTTATAAAGGTATGAATATCAACTTCTTATTTTTTTACATCAATGGTAAATTTGGCAAAGCTAAAAGTTATCTATTTGTAAAATTGCTAATAGAACATACATACATACAAAAATGTTTAAGGATAATAAGTAGATTTACTTCTGCATTTATTACAAAATTTAAATTTTAAAATACAAGTTTAGAAATAAGCTCATAAATTTCTGAAAAAGTCTTATCTATTTCGCTATCAATCTCAATTTACACACACTTGATCTATCTAATAATTGAAGTCTGGAGCTGCTATATAAATCGAAGGTCAATTGATCCCGATATAATAATATTTTTAGAGACAGTCGACAGTTAAGATGGTAAAGACACCAGTCAGCTATCTAGAGATTTGATTCAGAATTTACAAAAATGAATTGATCCATGTATATCAAGTCAAACCTGCAGTGCATAGTCATGATCTTAGGGCCAACGCACACAAGTGGCAAAATTAAGGAAACATTTTATGACAACAACCAAATCTGCCAATCATCTTTTTTGACCTCAATAATTAAAATAAAATTGTTGGTTTAACTTATTATCAATATTCAATATCATCTTAGTTTTACCATTCATGTGCATTGTCTTTAGTCAAATCCATAAAAGATGGACAGAAAAATCTTTTAGTGCTCAAAGTGTAGAAAGAGTTTAAAAGTTAAATATATTTTTGTATGAAATATTTCAATTATAAATCATTCTAATAGAAATATTTATCACCATCTAAATCTCATTATAAAGTATTGATTTTTTAAGCACTTTTTAAAAATCAATATCTCTTAAAATTTAAGGTATGCAATTATAAAACTAATTTTTATCAAAAGGTAGTCTATATAATGCCTACTATTACAAAAAAAAATAGCATTTCTATAAATTACATCAGTGATTGATCTGTTTCATTATAGGTTGATTAGAAGAAAAAGGCAGTGCATTTGAATTTTTAATCAAAATGTGTAATTAATTATTTATATAACTTTCTAATAACTTTAAACTGAAAAATATTTGGATCTATATCAAAAATCTTATAAATTTTATTTTAATAAAATTTATAAGATTCATGTAAACTTCAATCTACCTGCTGATTTTCATATTTTAAATTATTTTACAAAATTGATGCATAATACAGTATGTTATTAATTAAATATAATTTATTCTACTGTTTTAAATCACACTTATGTTACATCTGTTTAATGTGAAGATTTAATTAAACCTTCTTTTGAAAATAGCTACAAATAACCAGCCTCTCCTTATATACAATTTAAGTTTTAAGAAACAAAATCTTGGAGTTTGACACACACATTTCTGACCATCAAGGGTCATCTGGAATATGTGACTCAGATAGAAAAAGTATTACATTGTCAATTAAAACACTACTAATACTGTTTTGTAATTGATGTTGCTGTTTTAAAATTTCATTGATAAGATGTCGATACCAATCAAATGTATCAGATAATGAAAACATTTATCTTTTTGGATTTTATAAATATTTAAATTCAAAATATAATTATTCTAATCATTTCAGAAATTTAAGATTTTTTTTTCCTGATTTGATTTAGTTTATTTAACAAGCAATGTCAGACTAGTGGTTTTGAAGCAAACTCAAACAAAATGTCTCAGTTAGAATTTGACAACTGTAAACATCTGTGCCCAAAGCATGATTTGAATCCACAATCTGATAAACTAAAAACAACATATTAACACATTCAGCATCAGTTTGGCAAATTCATGTTTAGATTACATACATCAGAAATTTAGAAATATTTTACTAAAAATTTACATAGATTCATCACATTGACTAAAACACAATCTTTGAAATAAATAAAAAATTATTTCATAATAATCTTGTCAAACAAGTAAAATACATTCAAAGATTATGTCTTATCTCATTTGGCAGTTACTACATATTATTAAGTAAGTTTTAACAATTGAAATAATGCTAATTAATATAATTGATTTTCAGTGTGAATTTCAAACTCTGTGAATTTCACACTGAAAATCAATTACTCTAACTCACACTGAAATCTACAAATTCTATAAAGAATTGTGTCAACATCACTCTAACTGTTGTTCAAAATGTGATCTCAACTACCAATTCACAGAGCTAATGTACTGTGTGATCACAGAAAATTTTTTTAAGTTGACAAATATTTCAAATCAAAAGAAACCATTTGTTATAATCTTAGCAGATTTCAACCAAAGTGAATATTTTTAAGATATTTTCATATTAATATTAAATAAAGAAATTAATTAGTTGCTAGTCTTGTTATTTAATATATTTTGAAGATTACAGAATTGTATATAAAAAAAATTTAAAAATCCTTCGAAGTAGTAGTTCTTGGTTCAAAATATATCATATTTTGGACCAAGAATTACTGTTTCAGAGAAATATATTTTTAGATTATGCAATTCTACAATGCATTAAAAATATTTCTAAAATTACATTGAATATGACTTTAAATAAGCATAATGGCAACATAATGACAAATATGTAATATAAATACAGTATATATAAAAAGTCTGTCTATGTGTATATTTTTATCTGAAGTTAAAAATTTTAGCACTCAAATAATATCAATAAGTTTTTAACTATCATTAATGAGGAGTAATTAAATGTATTCCTATTCTAAAATGGTTAAATGTGGATGTATGAAAAATTACTCTCTCTCTCAATTCCAAAAGACTCATCAAGCATTAACATAAAGGAAGCAGATTTTCTTATTTTGAAAAAAAGATCTATTCTCAAGTATTTAATTTACTTGTGCTTAATTATCAAAACATTAAGTTTTATTCCATACTAACAGAAATTTCATAGATCTATACATTTATTAGACAACTAACATGTATGAAAGAGGAAATAAGCTTACATTAATTGTGAAACATTGTAATTAATTTAATAAATAAATTCTTAATGTTTATTTTAATGCATATTTTCTACATAAATTACAACAGATAAAAATCAGTCAGATGTCAGATAATGTGCATAATTATAAAAATATCTTTAAAATAACAAAAGAAATCTTTTTTTATTTATCAATAATTATGATAAATATGATACAATATTCACTTATCATTTACTATATTGTAAACACATCACAAGACTTATGACAACAACAGCATTTTATGTTAATAAATTTTAAAACTTTTTATTATAAATTTTCAATTCAAAACAGTTAAATAGCAAATGGTAATTTCATTTAAGATTGGACTTTTTTCAAGCTTTAATCTAAAAATCATTTAAAAAGAAAAAACTGAATGTTTCTTTGATACTATTCATCAATTTTTCTACATGAAAGATGCCAATACACAATGCTACAATTAATAATTGAGATGCATAGTTGCAAACATAGCCAAGCCCATAATTTCAAAAAAATTAGATTTTTCCTGCTCTTTTCAATAAGTTTCTAAGCTAGCCACAAAACAGAAAAAAGATAAAAAAAAAAAGGAATGAAAATTAGAAGTTACTTTCAAAATCTATCACCTCTACAGTCATTATGTTCCAAACCTGTGAAATTAACATAAATGGACATGGCTAGTTCAGAATTCAAATAATTAAATTGAAATGTCTGATCTAAATAAATACAACAAATTTTATTTTAAATTTTAAAAAATGTTAATATGTTTCTTTTTCTATTTCATAACAGTAAAAAACTGCAAATAATCTAAAAAATTTTAATATAAAACTATTACAGTAGCCCCTGATTATACAGAACATGTTGGGAGACAAACCAAATGGGAGATACATGATGGCATGATATAATGATGTATCTATACATCTGTTTTGTCTATTTGCAATTTTCATGTCATATTTCATACAATTGTAGTTTCATAGTCAATGATTAGAATAAGGTAATATTTTACTGCCAGTAGAAATTCAATGGCAACCATTTTTTAAAAACTGTTGGTTAAAGCTTTTGTATTTGGTAGATCAAAAAAGTTCAATATATCCAAATGAGCAATCTAACAAAGCTACTGCAGGGGTGGCCAACAGTTTTTGTCCCCAGGCCGAATTGGAAAGAAAACTTTTTTCACAGGCTGAACAAGAGGCTGCCCTAGGAAGATTTTGAGGTGGTGCGAGATCTCATTGTGGTGTCACCCCATAGAGACTAAATTGTACATAGAGATTACAGATACATTTTTCACATTATCATGCTTTATCAACATTTTACTTAAGAGATTTGTAATGGAAGGTTAACTCTAACCGGACAGCGAGTTGCTGACCTTTTTTTTTTCTTTAGGCGTTAGAATTTTTCACCGATCTATTCTGACTTGAGTAGCTAATATCGAAAGATTAATTGCGGGCCACATAAATCCATTACATGGGCCACATCCGGCCTGCATGTTGGCCATGCCTGGGCTACTGTATTGTAAATATCTTAGTATATTTAAAGTGAGTTAATTAATTAATTTAAAATATTGTATATTATATTCAAACTAATATATTATTCTTTTCTGAAAAAGTGTACTATCTGGAGCTTGTGAAATATGTAGAATGCTAAACAGAAAAATTTCTAAACAGCCAAAAGCAAAACCTTATGATAATTTTATTTGATAGAACTTAAAAAGTTATGCTTAAATGCAACAAAATTGAGTGCCAAAATTATCTTATTTTACAAGTTAAAAATATTCAATGGCACAAAATTTCCATTCAAAATAAACTTAGACAGTAGAAATAAACTCTTGCAGAAAGTTAAACTGCATAGCAAATTTTTTTTCTCTCTCTCTCGTGTTTCTTAATGGGACTTGTTAATCTTTGAAAGGTTCTAACTTATAAACAAGACAATTTTGATGCATTTAAGCACACTTAATATCCTATCAAATAAAGTTGATCTTCTAATTTTTCGATTTTAAAATTTTGGAAGGACCCCTTGAAAGAATTGAACTGTATGTGAACTAAGAAACTGTTATATTGAAATAAAAAAACAATTACAATTTTTTTTTCTTTCAAATTAAATCTTTAATATAAGGATAATTACTTTATCCTTCCAAAATTCTGAATTAATCAGCAGTAATATGCTTTACAGGCTTATTAATTATTTAATTAAAACAAATTAAATGATGAATAGTTATTATAAATCAATATTTTAAAGTAACATAAACAAATAAAAATATGTAATTTAAAATTAGTAAAAAAAGCTTTGTATTCAATAATAAATAATTTTAAACAACAAATAAATAATTGACTTACTTATTAAAATGATGATTATCCACCTTTATTTTACCGAAGGCTTTAAAATCATCGGGGAGAAGCATCACAGGTATACTGACATGAGTTAATTCATTAATCTGAAACAAAAAATAGAATAAAGAACAATTAATTAAATATGCAATTTTTAATATATTGGGACAGCATGAAAAAATACAAAATTACAAAATTTGTGTTTTCTATAGTTACTGAAAATGTTACAAAATTTTGGTTTAAATTATTCCATATTTTCACACATTTTTCAATTAAATTTTAAAATGAAAGCTAACATAATTTCAACTGTAATATAATGTCTCAAAACTGAATAGAATGCTGTTATTGAGTAGAGCAGAAAAATAAACCAATTGTAATTGCTTCCATAACAATGACATTCTAGTTGAACATTTGTTTGTGTTCCTGATAACAAGACATGGTAACTTGAAAGTGCTTGAATGCTTTCATTTTTTGTAATTTGTTTTCCATCATTTAGCAATTTTTTTAAAAGCATTAAAGAAAAAAAAAGCACTTTTAACAGAATGAAGAAGAAAAACAAACATTTGTTTATTCAGTTAATTAAAAGCAACTTTTGAGACATTACTTTTCAAACTTTATTTAAATGTATCATCATCAACATATAGTTTATCTAATATCTAAGAAAAAATGTGTCTGATAATGAAAGCAAAAGCATAATAAAATTAGATCTTTATTACTTTACTTAACAAAAATTGTACTCCTAGAACCTATTTCCGGTGTGACCAAAAAAAAACAAAAGAAAAAGTTAACATTTTTTACAATTAAATATATGAAATTCATAACGTTTAGAATTAGAATTTTTTCACTGCAAAAACTTATAACATCTCAACAGAATACAAATTAAGAAATTCAATAAAAGTTTACAAATTATGTAAGAAGTTAATATAAAACATACAATACATTCATTTAATAGATTCTATTGACATCCCTAAGTAATTTTAATATTTATATTAAAAAAAAAAAAATAGTAATCTTTGCTTTTATTTTAATCTTTTAAATGTATCATTCAAAACTTTCATTTGATAATCAATGAAACTGAATGGAATCGATCAATCATCAATTGACAAAGAATTGGAAGCTTTGAATGATGCTCAATGAAAAACAAGATGTAATAAGATTATATAAAGATGAGAATAAATCTCAAGAACTTTAAAGAATTACAAAACACTTCTTACATAAAGGATTTATTTATTTTACTAATAATTTGCTGATACTATCTGATTTTAAGTTGAATCAATAATTTTGAATTTCTGGCTAAAAAGTGGAATAAAATGAATATACAGTGGGTGATCGGTTAACAAACAGATTGGATAATGAACACTTTCACGAAAGATTTTTTATGTTCGGACAACGAACACATGATCGGATAACAAACACCCCACAGAACAAACACAAGAAGAAGCAACGTAAAATAATGAATACTGATTGGTCTTTCCTTGTCTTCGGGCAACAATTCGAAACTTTTCAGAGTATGGGAGATGTCGACATCGACACTCAAGCTGGTATATACCAATCGGACAGTATTCCTCCGAACTTTGAAACTCTCCCTTTTAATTCCAGCCTTTTATTTTTCTGACAAAACAATTCTTTTATGTATTCGTGAGACTGTCGGGTAGGCACTCGTTAAGTTTTGCATCTGTTTTTATTTTCAAAAGATGAGAGTATAATAGCAAAGGTAGAGAGTGGGCAGAAGATGCCTAATATTGCTGCGCAGTATGGCATAAACAGGTCTACAGTAGGCCACAGTTTAATCTTATTTAAGAAAAATACTGTATAATTAAGAAGACTCAAGCAGCTAAAGGAGTAACAAAAATCACATCTGAGAAATAAAGAATATTGAAGAGCTCATAATGGAACCTGAAACTGATCTGACAACAGAAGAACACCAAGAACTCTTGAATGAATAACACCAAGAAACTCAGTGAGATATGTTTTCTTCTGAAAAAGAGGATTAATGCCGATATCTGTTATTAAAGATCCTTTGAAGTGGAAGGATGTCAGAACAACGGTCTTAGAATGGCATCCAAACCAAGTTGAGGCTTGGGGATTTTTACAATTGCAATGCCATTACAGTAGAGCGTCAATTATCCGAATCAATTGGGGACTGGGGTTGTTCAGAAAATTGATGTTTCGGATAACCGATTATGTATGAAAAAATATATTAACCTGTCCCATGTTGAAATTTTTCTCCATTGTGTGTTGCTTTGCGTTGAATTTTCGTCGATGTTAAGCCTAACGAAGACTATTGTATCGTTAAAAATTATTTTTTTATTTTGTACAAACAAAATAAATATACTGAAAAATATAAAAACAATAAAAAATTATACTTCAGAAGTTAATTTAGTATCAAAAACGTAAAATATTTGAGTAGCCCAAGACACAGTCAAAGATTGCAGCGCCACAGCACTGGCAAAAATTTAAATTTGCCGACTGGAATTCTTTTGGATAATTAACATTTCGGATAACTGACTTTTGGATAATCGATGCTCTACTGTAATTACTTACGAAAAATCCTGAGAGAGAAAAGTAATCGACATTAGACAGATTCTTTAACCCCCACAAATGGAAAAAACATTACTAATAAAAATGCAAG